TTTCTAAAGATCATCTGCTTCTCTCTTGAGAAGGAAGAGGAATATCCTCGAGCGATGCGATCGTTGAGTTCCTGTCGAAAAGTATCAGCTAAATTTTCTCGAGTGCTTGGACTACTCTCACGATCTCCGGCTACCACGCCGACTAACTGACATTGAGTAATTTGTTATTTCCGCCGAGTCGGCCTCTCTCGGTAACGAACGCTAGTCGTCATTTAATAATAGATCGGTCGATTCAAGAACCATTCCTTAATGAGTCTTTCGTTTATTATATGTACTTACGTCTATCTACAATCGAATCCACGTGTCGCTACCTGGTCGATTTAGTCGCGATGTTGACAGAAAATGAGCGGAAACTCCCTCGTGGGATTGCTTCTGAAATCGCCGAAAATAAACTCAATTTTAAACCCGCAATTTGGAACAAAAATAATTTATCAAAAAATACAGAGAAAGGACGATTTGTCGAAATACTTAAAAATTGAGCTAAGTACACAGTTCTAAAAATAATTTTGTTGTACTATTTTAATATTGTAGTATAATAAGATCTTAAGCAATGCTTCAAGAAATTTTGACATTTCAGCAACCATTCGAGTGTCCTACATATTTTGATGGTCCAACAAAATTATTTTCAAATTTAGCTAAAATTTTAGTTACTTCAACGTAATCGTTTTTTCCATATAATACATAATAAATATCGTTAAGATGTAAAATAATTCTTTTGTGATATGCAAGAAGAATAAGAATTTTACGCACATTATGCATTAATTTACGTAAAGTATTTAAATATACTAGTACAATTTCTCTGTGAAACAAAGTTGAAATTAATATTTATTTTTGCAAGAAATGATATTATACAGATGAAGACCTTATTTCTTCGTTTCCTTTGCTCATTATAAATTTACGTATTTATTAACTGCTCTATACATTCATTTGAATAGGAATCCTACAAAATTTAGTTACACGAACTTCGATGGCTAACTTCAACGCACCAGAAACCGGTATTCTACCATTGGGTAAACCCTTTCCATTATGGACGTACAATAATAATAATCAACCGCAGGCGAGCTCTCGTAAGCCGTCGATTAATCTTTTGCAGCGATGATTTTAGCCTGGTAAGCGCATTTATCTGAACCCGTTTCGTTTCGCTTGTTTACGTCGAGTATCGCTCAGTGAAATCGACCACGTCGACGATTGTTGAAAGAAAGCGTATGTTAATACATTTGGTATAACCGTCTCTGGTGTTTTTCAATTGTAATCTGAATACGAACGATAACGATTCCTCGAGTTGCGACGAGGTGAACGCGTACCAGTTGAGGCATAACGGCTGCGTTATGTATACACGGTGCTCTGTTATCACATGTAATAGGTTTTTTCTCCTTGGGAGACAGTTATAACGGAGGATGTGCAATGTGACGTGTCCCACTTGCGTTCACGCGTTACGTCCGGTGTGGGACGTTCAATATTCCTCGGCGAAAGCCGGCGCCAAAGTGAAAAGTCTTTCGCAGTTTATGTGTGTGTGTGTGTGCCTGTGTGCACACAGGTTAGCGACCCATTACAAGGTCGACCACATCATTGTAGGACAAATTATGTTTGCATTTGTGTAGACTCGTGTCATAACTGCATACTTTCAGTCTGCGTGCGACAGTAGCACCGCAAGTTGAACAGTAGTTATTTAAGTGATACTTATTGACTGTAGGTTGGTATTCTTTTATTATTACTTCATTTCAATAGGTGTCAGATGAATAACATTAATCACTGATAAATATCAAATCGGAAAGACAAACAATACAAGACAATTTTTACAAAAAATACTGATATTTTTTTACAATACTTCAAATGCCGATAATGCGTATAGATATAATGTGTTGAAACGTTAACAATGCTTTGATGACTAAACGGTCAATATGTGAAAGTAACGCGATTTGTGTAAACTTGTTATCGATGAGAAACGTTGAGAACTGCGAGGTTTCTTGGAAAACAGAAAAAAACCGTTATCTATGCTTCTCTGCAAAAATTCTCGTGCGTGCGTATATAATATATATATATATATATATACAAATAAATATAAATGTAAATACACACATACACACAATCCCAAATTCTAGCCCTGTCAATAATATTTAAACTTTTCCCATTTGAAAACTGTCATAGCCTCGGCATTTTGGTATTAGACTTTTCGTTAAAATGTTACAAAGATTTATTTTTAAAATATTTCTCGTTAGTTTGGAGCACTATATTATTTATATATGTACGCGTGCGCATGCGCGCGCGCGCACACACCACCAATCAAAATTTAACTTGCGTAGTATTGAATAGTTTTTGCATCAAGCTATTGACGTTTTCGTAGATTTTATTGCAAATTCGTCACAAACTCACTCACAATTTTATTCCTTTTCGCATGCGTGAGAAAACTGAGAGAACGTTTTACGAAGAAATTGTTACACTCGTGTAAAAATGGGGAACGTTACGGAAACGATCAGAACGAATAAAAAATCTACGCATCTCTCTGTCTCTGCGTGAAACGAATCTCGCGAGTAACAAAGAATTTGAACTGACTAATTGACTTCCACACACGAGAAGTCCATTACCATTTCGAATTGCGAGCACGTGCACTAACTGGCGATATGACGAACGACTGTTTACCCTACTGTTTACTCCGATGCATTTGTTGAAACGATCCTAAATGTGATTGCGTCAGCAATCGATCGATCACCAGAACTCTTCCGATCGGCGGAAGCACGGCTAATAAGTCTGACAGGTGGAATATTTATAATGGATGAGTTGATTTCAATATCGATAGCAGCAAGAAAAACTGACAAACAGGAACTATAAATATTAACAAGCTAGTATCTAGTAAATTATATTACGTCGTAAAACGTGACTCCAGTCACGTACAGTCACGCTCGTTCCTCTTCTAACGATGAATTATTATATCGACGAATGTTAGCATATATTACGAATTACATTAGGAAATACTAAAAGCAAACCCGGAAGCATACGAATTTACCGTAATAGACAATGTTCTGATCTGTGAATTTTCAAATCTCGCGTGACAGGGTGCGCAAAAAAATTATCCACGAGTTTTTTTTTTTTAAGATATCAATTATGCCTTTCTTGACAGCAGGTTCTTGCAATTGCTTTTTCCTGTAATTTAAACGTACACATAATAATTTCATGCTGGTGTATTGCTGTTTGTTCTGTCCGATCGATTAAGGAGCAATCACACGTTACAGAGTATAACACGGTCATTAAGCATGATACTCTATGTAGCGTGTCCAGTGTACTGAGCTGTAATTTATGCCGATATCTATCTAGGTGCCCATATCTCTCGCGAGACATGTATACAAAAGCATGAGGTGATGTATTAATCAACAGTAGTCAAGACGAATCGTTGAATGATGCAACGCAAACACCTGATTGCGTGAATCGCTTTCGGATGACCCGGAAACCCACTCCCTCATATCTGTGCACGTGTCGTAAACGCGATTACGTAATTAATATTGCCATTAACGCACCTAACGCCTTTTGCGTACGATTAACGCTCTTTATCGACGCAGCAGGTGTGACAAATAAACATGTATATATATTTCGGATATTATACTATCGAGAACGAAATGATCTTACATGAAAAAAATAAATCTAAACCATATAATACAAATTTTTAACAATATAAAAATTGATATACAATATAAGGCTCCGCAGATAAATATTACATTTTTTTTATAAGGCTTTGTTTTATTCGGACATTTTTAACAGTTTATAAAATAATAAAATTTATCGTGCATGAATATTCTGTTTTATTGTATGTATTCTCGATTATATTCAATACAATAGACACAAACATATGAACAGAAATAGTAGTCTTACAGCGAGATCTGTAAAATTGATATAATACGCGATAAATATTCAAAGTTGATTTTTTCGAAAACAAACATAAATAAATTTTATTCTACAGTTTGGAAATATTATTTCGTTTTCTATAAATTTGAATCAGTGGATAATCAATGAAGTTTAACTGAAAAAAATAAAAAAGAAAGTTTGAGTATTATATAATTTGAATACTGATATTTTTGCACGTTAATTTTAATCTTCCAATACCATATATTCATTGAATATTTAAATATTATATAAAATTCAGACACTACACAAGTTAAAATACCTTCTCCTTTATAGTGACTTTAGCTTCAGCTGAACGGCATTGATGGCGCGTGGGGCGACCGAGAATTCAATCAAGTGACAACGCTTGTGTAGTTGTTATTTTTAAAGTAATAATAATACAAATACAATAAAAAACTATACAAAATCCAGATCGAGTGGACGTTCTCCGACGCCTTTAAAACTAGGACAAATCCAGGAAATTCCAGACGGATGGCAGCTCGACAGTTAGATCACGTAATAAAAGTTAGTTAGGTTAGGGACTCACATTTCATTCACTGATTACCAGTGGCATATTTACTAATATCAATTATTACCCAGTCAGATTTAGAGATGCTCTTGAGGATCATTTTTCTCGTCGTACCTTGATTTTCGAAACACCGTGTGTATGTATATATCCGCTATACATATAGCGATTTATATACCGTTATGTGGCGCGTAGGTGAAAACGTGATTATATACTTTCTAATGCCGAAAACCTGCCAAGGTCTGAGCGAACAAATAACGCTAGATCCAACCAACATAACTGAGCTAGCCAATTATTGCGTGGATACTAATACAGAGACAGATCTTTTTACCTGAAAATCCCCCACGACAAGTGTGGAGTTCAAAATCCGAATACATTTCTAGCGTTTCGAAGAGAAAGAGTAGACGAACAGTGATCGTTCTACGATTTTGAAAAATGTCAAATTTATTTTAAGAGAATTGTATTTTTAATTAACTTTATCTTCTTGTAATTGTGTTTTTTTTTATGTTAAATATTTTGAAATTTTCTAATTAATTGCACCTCTAATCTATCATATCTGCGTGACGCTTTTGCTTACAGCAATGTGTTTTGATTGTTACAGACGCATGTCCTGTTGATGGATGCTTTCCTACAGAACAACAGGCTCGATCATGTTTCGAGGGTAATGTCCTCGCACCCAACATATTTGGAACATTTCCTTCGCACTCAGCAGTTTATCCTTCGGGGTGATGGTCCACTTCCTTACGACTACAGACATCTCATTGCCATTATGGTAAATACTTATTTTCTATATAAAAATTTTATAAGCTATATTCAGTAGATCTCGACATAAATTTTTTATATATCGTTAATTGATTTTTAACAAGAACACATATTGTAACATTAAACATATGGGTTCTTAAGAGACGCATTAAAGTTTTATGTGTTATTAGTTTTAGAAGATACTTAAAAATTTTCAACTATATCAAAAGATTGCAACACTTGGACGATAATTAGCCTTGTAAATGAAACAAAACAGCGGCAACTATAAAATTGTGAAACATAAAATTATTTCCAAATCGTTACACTATTTAAACATTGGAAAATATTCTAGGATTACCAGGACCTACATGTTAAATTAAATGTTTCACTTATGGGTTACGGTTTAAATATATTCCTGCGACTTTTATTACGCTTTTTCACATACATTTAATTAAATCGAAAATTTTATGAAAAGTAACTTGGAGTAATTGAAAGTCGTATACACTGACGTTAACTTTAGAGAGGATGTTATCTTAATTGTTCATTAGAAACTTTATTAATCTGCAAGACTTGAGATGAAATATGTTTCTTTTCTTAAAAAGCTCTTTTTTTTTGAAGATTTTTTATTAAATGCTTAGTTTTACTGAATATATAATTTATGCGCGTATAAAACAATTGTTACTCATGAGCTAAGTTTTTCTTCGCGTTAATGATGCGTCTTCATCTTTTCTCTTAAGTTCCCTGATCGACCCTCGACGAACGACAGGCAGGTCACCGGGTCAAAGATTATCGCAAACTGAGTAAATGCAGCGCGTGTGTGTTTCGTAATGCCGCACATGTTCTCGTGAAAAGCAATTGGTGAAGATGTGAAAAATAACATTGACTGTTCCTTTATGATCTTTACTCGGCGATCTACGCATTTGTTTGTCTTACTTTTAGCTATTTGTGCAGTATGAAAATATGCCATTTGTTGTATAGAATTATATAACCTTATCTTTTGAACATGCAGAAATGTGCATGCACAAGAATCATCTTGAAAACATACTTTCAATTGTAACCGCGTTATGTCATAATTGTGACATAAAGAAGACATTCAGTGAGATAAATGTTTTGTTTTTTTAATTAAGGTATACGTTTTTTTTTTCATTTTTCCATGAATGATTTAGTTTTTATAATGAAAAGCTTGTTTACATTGCGTAGAATTTTACGGACTATAAATAACTTAAGAGAATGTCGAATCGAAGGTTCGCGTGTAAGAATTTGACAAGCTCATATTTTTAAATAAATGAGTCATTTATCATTCAATACTCAGAATACAGATTCGTGCGAGAAACAGGCTTGTCTAGATAACGCGCGCAAGTGGAAAGATAAAACTGATTTGCCGATTTTACTTCGCATCGTGAGAAAAAATTCACAGTATGCTCTATTATAAAAATAACGTGCATCTTTAAGATGACAAAATTTCCTCATCGCTCTCTAAAATTGTTAAATACTTTATACAGTCTCACAATGTTTATCAATCTCCGAAACGTCGGATTTTATATTTAGAAATATTTTCAGCAAGTATTCAAGTATTTTTTTCGCGATATTCGAGAAACCTGTTTGTTTTCCACAATCAACCTTCAATTGAATTCATAAAGCGGGTTTATTAAATATATCTTGCCATTTTTCACACTCGTGATTTCATTCCTTGTAAAATTAAGACGACTTGTCAGAGAAACTCGTTTCTCGAGTTAAGCTCTTACTTCTTCTCCGTAGACTACCTCGCATTAGCTAATGCACAGTTAGCGATTGAATGTATATTTCCGTAAATGCATATACAAAGTATAAAATCAGAGAAACTACGGTGTTGTTAGATATGCGACGTAAACGCGAGAGCAGGTATGCAGATTCCGCAAACTGGTTTGCTCTAAATTGTCGAGTTAACGGCTGTGTGACGAGCATTGGCGATCACAGCCGACTTTGTTTATTACAAAATTCCACACTGCAGACTGTAAAATTGCTATCTCTACAGGATACAATATCGAGGTTACAGCTTCCGCCTTTGAATGATACGCAGTCGTGATCGGATGTCGTTGTGAGCCATTGCGGGCTTGATTCTATACTCAACTGATAATTTGAATAATTCGCATATTAGACAGATTTTCTTTATTACTTCCTCAAAATTCGAATCGAGAATTGTACGTTATTCAAATATTTAATAATAATGATTGATGTCGGGGATATTCGACCGATCTAAATTTATTATTCGATTTACATTTAATTGTCGCACCTTTTTTGCGCTTTCCTTACGTAATCTCGAGACTTGAAGTTTAGTAATCTTAATTTGATATCTCGAGAAGTACGTCAGAGTAGACTGGTGTGATAGACAAAATATCATCGCAGTGTATCGATTGAGAAGTACTTTATCTCGATGAAAACAGGGTGATGTGCGGACAAGGACGAAATAAATTGTTAGACGGTACACGCGGATGTGATAAAATGATAAGGTATCTGAAAAACAGCTTTTCTGGTAAACATTGTGCTCGGTAGACTTGTTTCTTTGAAATGAGATTTGCGATCATTTTGGATTATTCATCAAAAGCTCTACATTGGAAATTTATAACATTATATATGGAATAGTTGTTTAAAAAATTCATATTAATATTTTTTATTTAAAAATAAAAATTATTATGAAATGCAATTGATTCTGTATTGATTTGTTTTAGTAGTATTATATAATTATACTTCATTAATCATTTAGCTATCGGACAGTTCGTATGCAGAATAAATTATTGAAGGAAATATACGGGAGAGAGCCTTTGAAGATAAATATCATTGTTATCGTGTTGTCTCGCGTTTGCGTTTATACATATATCTTCTAAATTAATGCAGGTATAAAATTGTTGCTATTATCAACGTACGATAACATTGATTACCATATTGTATCAATAATTTTAGATCAATAATTTTAATAAACTTAATGGCTGTCCATTTATTTCAAAGAATGTGTGCACAGAAAAACGGTAACTTATTATAGTCATTATATAAGGAGCGAATTGTATCAATATAAATTTACGGTGAGACGCCCTTTATGATAATGATATATTATTTCCGACTCGGAAAAAGAAAAACAAAATGCTTCTCGATTCTATTTATGGTTATTGTATTGTACAAATAATACTAGAATATTGATATAACGATATCGGACTGTCTGAGATGTTTTTTGCCAATCATCGTTCGCACATATTTTGTTATTCTCATCGCCGCGATAATGCATTACTTTCTGTGTTTTATCATCTTTCCAATCCCCGCGTGATAATCGAGTGAAAAATGAAGATCGGTATCACCCGCCGCGCGCCGGTAAATTTCTTCGCGCAAAGTGCGATAATTAATGACTCGTGAATCGTCGCGTGAAATAAATAATGCGAATTTTCGTAATTGATGAATTTGATGGCGTTGATCTTGATGATCGATTATTGATAATAGAGGAAAGCACGTCAAAATACTTGTGTTTTCTGGGTAGATTCTGACTGTATACTGGAGGGAGGCGAAAATGTATTTGGCGAACTCTGCTCTTATCGTGAGCCTCGAATCGATCGATTTACCGTTCTCACAGCAAACACATGTCTTGTTTGCGTACCTCATCGCAACCCGTTCTCTCATTCTTTTCTTTCACCGTCGTTTCTCTCCTTCAATCCCGCCTTTTTTTTTTTCACTTGCGCTCGCTCTTTCGCCCCTTTAGCCATGGTATTACCATGTCCTGTCACGATGATCGATTGACTCTGTCAGGATCGTGCTGCATCCGACGCCCACGCGAGATTCCTCGGTTGGCGAAATGACGAGTCAGGGGTGCTAAACTGACGTGTTTCATGCCCGCGAGGCTTCGCAAAGTTAGTCACGCGGGAATAAATAGATCGTCGTCGAGTTCAGATAATTTAAATAATAGTACCTACGTAGAATCCATACTAAATTTTCATAAATAATATTTTTCTAACAAAAAATATGACTAACCGCATCGTTAAGTTAAATTTTCCGCTATTTACGTTTATTGCAATATATTGTAACGCGAGACTATTAGTGTTAAACTTAAAATGGTAAATGTTGAACTCGTGACTCTCTTCTATATATTTTTAATGATACTTTTAACGCACTTTATTTTATCATTGATATTGATGGTGATTTTATTTATTACCTTAACTACGCTTGCGGACACGATTCTCTTGTTAAAATCTCTTCGCTATTAATTTATAAAATCGATAATGTGAAAATCTATGTCACGGGATTATTCATCGTTGGAGGATGCAGGATTGAGCGTAGTGCATATATCCTTGAAACGGATGTTGCTGTTCGTCACCTGCTGGAAATGATCGTGAGCGTGATAACGCGCGATATTGGCGGCCGCGACCTCGTGCAATTTTACGCTCCGATGCATCATCACGTCGCCGTCAATTCGCCTATCGCCGGTCGAAATTTGTTATTGAAAAATGCATATGGCAAGCCGCTCCGGCCTCCCCACGAAATCGAGCCAATAACTCCGACGCTCGTCCTCGAAAATTTTGTGGGACGGGAAACCCACCGTTTATCGTGCGCGATGCGCGATATCGCACGTATACATGTGCACAAATACACGTGCATCGACGGCAATAATGCACGGCGACGCTATCCGGTACTCAATACGCGAATAGAAATTCCTCGCGGAGCAAAATTGCTTTTGGTCGACTCGCACGCCTCGTCGTTTTTATTCGACCCTTATTTCCCTACGGGTAGTATCTTATCGATAGACATTATCTGCGAGTTAATTCTGCAGGCCTGTGTATCTGCTTATTGTGATGTACGGGCCTGAGGTGAGCGTGATAATCGAGATTACAAGGCTCGCACCATCGAAGCTTAACGGTCATAAATTAGTTGATTTATTATGTAGCGCGGGGTGCGCATTGATTACGCTATAATTATATTACATCATTACATGACGGTATTTAATACAGCTGAACGATCATTTGAATCATATGAAGCGTTTTTATCGCGCATATGGATCTCGTCTCTTTAATACCTAACGTGTTTCAATTACGTTTTAAATCAACTAGCGAGTTGTTCACAATGGGAGGACCAGAAGTAGAAACATGCTTTTAAAATACGATTTGTTGCTAATAGTAATCCTTCGTGCTCATATTAAGAATCTTAGCTTCAGACATCTCTCTAAATTCTTTGGAGTGGAATTTGATTAATTTAGAGAGTGAAAATTCTGTCACTCTTGAAATTTTTGCATTGACTTTTGCATTCTTAATATGGACAAGAAGGATTTGCAAGAAACTGTATTTCACAAAAGGCGTTTTCATTCACTTCAGATCCTTCTTTGTCAGAATTACAGCTTCCTTCGTATCGAAATATTTATGCGATCCCTTTTAATGATGTACGATTTAGTAGATAATAATCTCGCAGTGTAGGGGAGACGATTATGTTAGAAACGTTGTCTAAGGATGGTATTAAGCGTCGTGGATGATGCGAGAGAGATAAATTGATGAGAACAGGTTTGGAGATCTATCTTAATGTAATTTCAGGCTGCGGGTAGGCACCAATGTAGCTACCTTATAAACCTGCAGAAGGGAGAGTTTCTTCTTCAGGGCGGTGACCCCTCGTGGCTCCAAGGCCTGAGATCGATTCCGGGGAAGCTGCAAGATCTCTATGAGATCAACAAGATCCTAGCCCATAGACCGTGGCTTCTGAATAAATCTCACATAGAGGTAAGCGAGTGGGATTTTGAATTCATGCATAGAATTCACATGAGACAGTGATGCAATACAAATCCTTGTATTTTCAGAAATTGACTAAGGGCGATGACAATTGGTCCTTAGCGGAGGTTGTCCATGCGATAGTTCTATTAGCCCACTTCCACTCGTTATCGTCTTTCGTATTTTCTTGCGGAATTAACGAGGAATTGGATAACGTAACTGGTCATCATTATAAGGAGAACATCCAGGACAATAGTAGTAACATACCGCCTGCCAAAGATAAGCTCACGAGCCCTAAAAAGATCCCTAACGGAGACGGCAAGACTGGTATGTAATACTTATTATGATCTTTCGCTGGTAAAATGCAATATTATTTGTCTAACGGTGATTAAAACGGTGATATAAAAAAATTGTCTATTTTTACACGGGAAAGAATGATTTTACTGAAGTGTCTAAAATTTTCTAGATTTGAAAATAATTTTGTTGCCTAATGAAAATAATAATAATTACATAAGAAACTTGAGCATGATGAGCAATTTTGTAAAAAATTTTGATATTCTAAAAACTGGTTTGAGTGTCCTACATAATTATTTGGTCCAACAAAATTACTTTCAGATCTCTATCTAGGTAAATTTTTAAAATAATTTAACTAAACTGTCCTTTCTAAGCATAAGTTTGTTTTTTCATACATTTATGTTGGCAGAAGTTTTGATATAACTTCACAATTGAAATTACTTTCTAGAAAATATACCGTCGCCGCCGTCGTCGCCGAGCATAGTTGGCGAGCAGGAGGTCGGAGTAGAGACCCTGATGGAACGTATGAAGCGTCTCTCAGAAAAATCCGAGTCCTATCAGATCACGCAGGAGGAGCTCTCCAAGAGATTCGAGACTGTCGAGACGCAATCGGCTGAGCTGGCAGCGGCGCCACAAAGGAGTAGCTCAGTTCTCGACTCCGATATCGGTCTATTCATCGAGGATCCCACTTTCATCTACCAGGATTTTGCCAAGGTGAGCTTCTTCGGCGTCAATTTTACCGCGTTAGTAACGGCGAAACAGTTAGCCCAATAGATATTCGCTATGTATCTTAATTGAGTTCATTCATTTATGTTGATAACGTCAGTGCGACCCTCATGTTATTCAACAACGTGGCGATGATTCCTCGCGCGCGTCCGCTGTTTTTGTACGTCTAGTTAAGTAGTGTGTAATGGATTAGAACCGAAAGACGATATTCCAAGGTAGCGTGTAGCTCATCCATGAATATTTAAGCTGACTACCTGTACTCCGCGCGTACGGCTTACGGCTCCGCTCGCGTAACTACTATGAATATTTACCGCGCGACGACGCTGTGTATTGACTGACTTAAGATAGGCTACGAAGGCGGGGCACAATGCTTACGCCAGGCGTTAATGCGCAAGATAATAAAAAAGTTGCTTCATCGGTTACTATCTATAGTATATTCTTTCGTTCCCTAACATCACTCTTCACATCTTTCCCGAGACTTTTTATCGACAATATAATTTTTCTTATCTCTTGGTGCTTTCTTTTTTTTTATATTGATTCGATGTTTTTCGTCTTTTTAGCGCGGTCAATTGAACGACATACCGACCTTCCGCGTCCAAGACTATTCCTGGGATGATCATGGTTACTCCTTAGTGAATCGTCTGTACAATGATGTCGGTAATCTCCTCGACGACAAATTCAAAACCGCATACAATCTGACATACTATACCATGGGCACGCACAACAAGGTCGACACGTCTCGCTTTAGACGGGCGATCTGGAACTACATACAGTGTATGTTTGGCATCAGACATGACGATTACGATTACAACGAGGTGAATCAATTGCTTGAGCGTAGCCTCAAAACCTTCATCAAGAGCGCCGTTTGCTACCCGGAGCGCGTCACAAAGAGGGATTACGATCGTGTCATGAGAGAATTCAAACACAGTGAAAAGGTAGGTACAATTATCTTTTAAATATATAATCCAATTTGACTAAAATAAGGTAATTGAGGGAGAAACAAAAGGAAAAATATATATATTTTATACAATTTAAAAAAAAATGAACGATATAATTCTTTCAAAAATAAGCTACTTCAATCAAATCGCTTAGGTTGTTTGATTTTAATTAAAATATATTATTATGCGAGTAGTGCACAATAAGGCTGTACTTCCTATTTCAAAAGGATCTTATAGAAATTTAAATAAGCAGTAATTTATATGTAAATAGGTTTAAAAGAGTTGAACACGTTAAATATAAAATACTTGATATTATTCGGCTGCAAATAATATCAACTGCTACCAGTCTCGCGATAGAAAGTTAAGATTAGCTCGCATGAAACGCATTATGCATTTGGAATTAGCTATTTAACATCTGTGATAAGGTTTTTATCACGATGAAACAAGAAACATAAAAACGTATTTTTATATGAGCAGGAAGCGAGGAAACGATACTGTTGGACGTTGCTAAATATCGTCTTTTTCCTTTGTTTTCCAGGTCCACGTGAACCTGATGATTCTAGAGGCTCGCATGCAAGCAGAACTGCTGTATGCCCTTCGTGCCGTGATGCGGTATATGACCTAAAGCGAAGTTCCGCGTCACTCCCTCGTTTGTCCGCTGTCTGTCAGTCTGCAGTTTGTCGATTTGTTTTCTCGCGCCACGCTCCATGCTGTAAATTCGCAGACTTCCGGCATGGAAATGCGCGGCATAGAAGGAGCAAGCAAACGTGATATCATCGCGTCTTATACAGAACATCACACACATATGCACGCACTATCATAAGGCCGCTTCATCGTCGATTCGTGAATTGCGGCGATAGCGAGCAATCGCGATTCTTCAGCGAGTGCTAAAAAAGGCGATGTTGGAAGAGGAAGAGGAAGAAAGGAAAAATGCTAATTGCGGGGAAAACAGAAGATCATAATATTTGGTCATTCAGCTGCGCTCTCGGCACGATTCTTCTGATGGCGCCTCAACGACGAGACCAACGCGTCTTTGTTCCTCATATGGCTCACGAACATTGTCGATTGCACGTTTCGTCTATTCGCGTAATAAAGTAGAGTTGATGGCGAATGGAGTGTTTTTCCGCGTTTATTTGAGAGGAGATTGTGTAGAGATCATAAAAAAGGAGGGAGAAATTGTGTGAACAGACAGGAAGACATGACAAGGAGAGGAAAGATTTATAATTTGTTTTGTACATAGACACTTGTATTTTTCTACGTTCGACATTATAGCAGTCTGTTATTTGTGCGTTTCGTTTACGTTTCAGATCTGTTAAAAAAGAAGTTTGCTCTCGCCTTAGAAGCTTTCAAGTCGCGCTTTTAACTTGACACGTACACCACACATACATATACACACGTACATATACCCTTCTTATTACGTTTGCAATTTCGATCTTATGCGCGATTCATTGAAGAAAACGCATCACCGCAACACGCGTTCATACATCAAGCAAAAGAAAAAACTCATAGCTTCGCGCGGACATTTCGTTTTTTCTTTTGTGCCGGATGGCTTATTGAGAAATGGAAAATTAATCGTAAGGCGTAAATTAAGAAAATCTATTAACTCTAATTCCGTCGTGACTTTATCCTTTGCCTCGGATCCGATTTGATTCGATTTCTCCGAGTTCTCATGCTTGTGGCGTATGCTTCGAGTTATCGGAACGTCGATTCTCGCGTGTGGCGCAACGTGCGTCGTCGCGAACGTCAGACCGAGAAATCGTCTTTCGCGCTCTGTATATATCTATATATATGTATGTAATGCGTTTTATCTCCGTTTCATTTTGACGAGACCTATCCCGTAAAAAAATATCCGTGAAAGAGTTAACATAAAATTGTACCTACTTACCATTCATTATACGTGTGTGTCGAGTAAACCTTAGATTGTAGGACGATCCGCAGCCGCGTGTATATGCGTGCAGATTATTATGTTACGAGCACGCGACCGCGGAGAGAAGCAATGCCTATCGGCTGTGTTTATTTACCGAGGGATAATGCGCCACTGTTGTTTAGCCGAACGCGAAAAGCGTCGTTGCAAATTCGCTTTAACCCATGCACCATCTAAATCTAGGCTGCTTTTCCATCTTGAGATTAGCGATGGAAAGCCACGTTCGCATCGAGTTTTACACGACAAGAAAATTCGTTTGGTGTCTCGAAAGAAAAGAAGATCATTGTATCTGTTCTTGTGCTAATGGCTTATGCTTGAAGAAACAGGAAAGAAGTATAGCTTGGAGAACGTACTTCGGAATTATCCGAATTCTGCATGCGCCATTAAAAGAACTGACCGATTCCACGTGAACACCAATTTCTCGACGCCCGATATTGCGCGTGCGCACGAGGGCGCTTATCAACGAATTTCGATGCCTTCGGCGTAGCGTTCTAATAAAACGTTATATAGAAAAAAAGAGAGAGAAAGAGAGGGAGGAGAAGGATAGGGGGGAGAGAGAGAGAGAGACGGAGGGAGGGAGGGAGGGGCTTGATAAAAAGCGATAGGAATCGCGACGTACGGCTGACGAAGCTCTGTCCCTTCCTCGGCGATTGATTACGTGCGGGAACGCCATTCGTTCGATGTCAAAGTGTTGTGTACGAAGAGAATTGAGGCGAGGCTGTTTAAACAAATCAAATTCTTATAATAGATTATTAAGGTATATACAGACACGCAAAACACACACATATATACATACATACACGTACATACACTTGATACACACGAAAAGAACGTGGCACAACTATTACACGCGAAATATACGTGTTCTGTGATCGCATATATCTATATATATGTATACACACATACACATAAAGAAGCGAATATATATATATGTATATATATAGATACATATATACGCATATTTACGATTAACTCGGCGAAAGAAAGGGAGAGAGAGCGAGAGGGAGAGAGTGGTGCTGCGCGTGGCGAGTGCGTATGAAGTGCGCACGTAATTGGAAGTTTGATGATTCTACCTGTAGCGTTTGTAATTAGGGTGTCTCTTTATTATATAATTGTGCACGTGTGCGTGCGTATGCGCGGGCGCTCCTCAGATAATCGATTTATTTACGTGCGCGCTCAAGGACGTGATAATCAGTACTTTGGAATGTGAACTTGTTCTCCGTGAAAAATCCTTTGATCTCCATTCTGCGAACGATCGACTGTAAGTGGTTTATACAGTGAGCGAAAGATCCTGCCAAAAAATTTAAATTGATGCAATTTCAGTAAATTATGATTATTTGAGTTCTGAGGATGCAAAAAAAGTTTTATTATATATGATAATATAACTTCAGTTTATATATAAATATACTGTGTGTATATAATAATATGTATATTACATATGTAAATATAGAATATATTTAATATATATTTAGATGTATTCTATATTCTATGTATACGTAATTATACGTATACATAGATAGATGTATATCATATGTACTATACATAAAATTTTTATTAATATGTAATAATATTGAATCAATTTTCTTTTTACTAAATATTCGATTTCTATTGTGATTCTATAAACGCGTTGTTTAAAATTTTGTAAAAATTTTTGTAATACAAACTTCTATATTTAATCACTGCAAGTAAACATAGAGATAATTCTTATCTTTGCATCTGGATTTATTGAGATTACACCAGTTTCATTTTTTGGTCGACTAATCTAGTCTAAGAAACGCCGAATTACATTTCTCACTCCGGTGACGGATTTATTCCAGTGAAGCAAAGTCAAATTCCAAAGTACGATTCCGCGCGTATAAGTGTAAACGTATGTACGCACGCAGAGGCACACATGGTTTGTCCGAATGATGCGAAACTAAATGGATAGTAACAGTGAGATCTATCGACCAACAGAGCGATGCGTTTCCCTTTTTTTTTAAGCGACGTCTCCACATATCACACCAAGAGTTTAAAATGGACAAAAAAACGTTTTTGCGTCGCTTACAGTTTATCTCGCCGGAATGGAATGGTCGAATCGACAGAACCAATAACTTTTCGACGATCAAACTTTTTCTCTTTTTGCTTTGTAACGTATCTTGCTGCCGTTCTTTGCGATTAATAACAAAGAAAGGATGTGATTTTGCGACTCGGTGCACGAATCACCGTTCGTCATGCTAATGACAGTATTTTCAGTTTCACTATCTCTCTCTCTCACTCTCTCTGTTTCTTTAAGTTATTTCATTTTAGGCTCTACTCCAAAAGTCTTTCTCTTTAACTGCTTCTCTCTTTCATTATCTATTTATCTCTTTTGTTCGCAAGGATTTATACGAACTTGTTCGCAATTGGTAAATTTAGTGAACTCTAGATAGCTTCTTTAATATGTTTACAAGGATGCATATGCTGTCATCAAATGGTCAAAGATCAAAATTATTAAATTATATCATTTCTTATAAAATTAAATTCATTACGCGAGAGTCCAACACAGTTGAAACCAAAGAGATATGCAAGAAGTTATGATTATCTGAATTCTAAATAGTAACATATATTATCTAAATTATCTAATGTATTAACACACAAGATTAGAAAAATCGTATTCTATTCTAATTGCAAATGTTCGAAATATTTTATTCACAGATTTTTTTATAATATTTAATCGCCTTATAAATTCGACATATCCAAATGTTGGAAAACTAAATTCTTCACGCATTTAGTTTGTAAGTATCATGATTTCTGGCATTCGTATAATTTTACGTAATTTTTTTTATTTTGTATTAAGCGAACATTGATATAGATTTCTCGATGCGTATACCATTTCTGACGCGTCATGGAACCACCAATGAATGAATGTTCGTTAAATCGTCGTAATATCTACTTGTTTATGCGTTTTAGGATAGTCGCAATGCTTTCAAAAACACCATCGCCGAAGATCGTATCGGCACATTGAAAGCTATATTATAACTTTTCGAATTTTATATAAAACTAATAACAATGTTTTTTTTTAATACATTCAGTTACGTACGAAGAAACTAGATTTTACTTCAGAATTTACTTATTTAACAATCCGAAAGGACCTACATATTAAGAAATCATAATTCTATCTTCCTTTTTATTCTTTCTAACTTTTCCTTTTTCCTCTTTTCTTATTTTAAATTTCTGTTTTGCAGCTTTTTTTATATATCTTATTTTTCATTATTTATTTAACGTTATCTATTATCTATTTTATTTTTTAATAACGTGCCAGTCTTAAACTCTTATCTCATCTCTTGTTCTATCTTTAACTATCTTTTTGTTCTCATAAATTTTTGTCATTGTTTTTTTGTACTGTTCATTTTACGATTATAAAAGAAAGTAAAAGAAAATAACAAAACATTGATCAATATATTGCGACATGTTCGCGATAGTCGTATACATGAATTGATCTCATAATATAAATAATCGGAAGAGAGACAAAGAGAAATAGAGAGAGAGAGAATATGGGTGTGTATGAAAGAAGAGGCAAAAAGAAACAGAAGGAATATACGCAAGGCTTCTAGAGAAAAAAAAGGATGTAACAAAAAGGACGTTGTAACGATTACAGACGACGTTCTGTTCCATATCTTTCTTCTTTATTTTTTTCTCTTAAAAATTGAGAAACGCGAGAGATTGTCATTGAAGCTGCATGCGAATATCGCTGCGGCGAGTCACACATCAAAGCGGATTATAATTTCGCGATAATTCTAAGGGGCACAGTAGAGAAGAAGAGAAATGGGAGGAAACAGGTAGAGTGAGAAAGGTATGAAAGAAATCGAGATTTTTATGTAGTGACGATTAAGTAGGCAAAAGCAAAGTGCGATCAAACATCGAGCTAAAAAATGAGGCACTGAGATCTCATACACCGAAATATCGTTGTAAACATCCACAAGATTTACCAAGGATGCCATTATTATCATCATTATTATTATTATTTAAATATTTTAAATATCCACAAAATTCGTTATTTATAGATATTCTTGAGATGTTCGCACCATTTAAGCTTTGTTGTGCTCTGTGTTTGATCGTGCTTTACTTTTCGTTCGACTTTTATTCATTGCTGTTTCTCTCTTGGACACGTATGGCAGTTGACGCTTCGGTAAAGTGTATAGTGAGAACCTTGGAGGTGGACGAGTACAGAGAGAAAGAAAAATATCGACGAAAAACAGCAAGTTAATGTGCGAACGGTAAAGAGTTAAAACAAATTTAAAAGAAGCGTGTGTGTGTGCGTGTTTAAGGATATGTGTGTGAATTGGCTCTAAACTCATCGTCCAATTGTCTCGAATGAGTTCAAGCTCTTAAAGAAAGAGAGGGGAGAGAGAGAGAGAGAGAGAGAGAGAGAGAGAGAGAGAGAGAGAGAGAGAGAGAGAAGTGCACAAGTTGTACACAGCCGAAAGAACAGTCCACCTCCGAAAGTCACAAAAAACATATTAAAATAGTACATGCCACCTTATCGGGAATGATTGTGTGATAATTACAAGTGATTTGACTAGGCCCCCTTCCCCTTTTTGGACGATCAAACTGATTATTGTCATTAAAGAATGTTTTTCGATTGCACATTAATATCTCAGTGACTAGATCTAGAGCGCTGAAAAAATAAAAAGAACACTTTTTCTCATTTTTCACGTTCTAAATTTCAGATTTCGAGCCGCGGTTAAAGAAAGCACCCTATATGTAATAGTAATTCATCGGTTTTACCAACGAGAAAAATATTCCGAGAGAGAGTTGGGAAGGAATTCCTTGCTCGCGAAGCTCGCCGTAACATCTCGGTCATGTTGATTGGATTAAGCTTCGCGGTCGTAGCCTAATCTTATCATGGGCCGGCGCGAGCTAGCAATCTCTTTACGAGACTAATTTAGGAATTTTCGCTGTTTTGCATATCCTACGGCGATAAGTAAGTTGTCGATTTCGTTATGTATTCGCGTATATGTAAAACTCGAGCAATTGCCGCCATACGTGCGGCCGGGGAAGGGGGTCGTATATGATGTGATTTCTTTTATATCATAACGAATAATGAACACTAAGAAATATTATAGTTTCATATAAGTGAGATATGTTATTTGTCATTTATTTTATCTCTTAATAAATGATGTTATATAAAAAAAAATCAACAGATATTCTTCACCTCGTCCTATCCAAAAGCATCTCACCGCTTAAATGCGCTATTCTTCAAAATGATAACATTCCTGCAACATCGAATTAGCTGACCGATTTTAATTTTAGTTCCATTATCCTTAAATTTAAATAGAATTTCAATCTCCAAGATTAAAATAAAATCCGTCTCGTAACATATTTTTTATCTAACTACAATTATTTTTTAAAATTATCGATAACGATTATATAACACAGTCTGAAAAAGGTCAAGAAGAAGACAATATAATCGCCCTCGTACATTTATTCGCCGGCTATCAGTATATTACAGCATACGTTACACATGACACCAAACGTCTAACAACTCGATTAGCGCTAATGATTACTCACTCTCAGCCACATTTTGCATAAAATAGTCCCATTATGAATCTCTGCTGCTTTCTTCGCGCGGCGATATTTACAGAATACTTTGCGTGTACAATTACATCGTAGGCAGTCTCTCGTAAAAAGAGAACGCATTTACAGAGCGTGTCAAAACAATGTTCTGTGCATGGATTGAACGTTAGATTTCATGTGAGAGTAGCATGAATGTACTCCAAGTGATATCGTCAGAGATATTGGTGATCGCCATTGTAGATATACGTCGGATGGTTTAACTCTATGAGTGTAGGACGGGTTGTTCATCACCTGTCGTTCAATGTACTACTCTTTTGATCGAACTGTGACGCCGGTTAAATTAGAATTCGGACGTGAGAGTACCACGGATTCCTATTTCGCGGTGATTGCTTCGCGATGATTGAAAAGACTCGATATAAAAAGAAACACTATAAGCCAAAGATAAAAGATCTCAAGAGAAGCTATTTCACCAAATAAATTTTACCTTCGTCAGGAATAATATAAAAGAAAAGTAGTATGAGAAAAAATATTCCTCTTCATTTTGTACATCGTAAATTGCACTTAAAATACTCGTATAGGATACTATAGGCGTACAATAATTTTTCAACGAAAACATAATTTTGAGGATAAAAATTTCACGGTCCATTTACATAAAGTTATTACATTAAAATGTCGCTGTAAAATAGCATTTACTTTTTTGAGTGCTTAACTCGTCGATCTTGATAACGTCGATCTTGATCACTTCATAACGAAGAGAATTTTCTTTCGCAAGGCCGAGAATTAATATGCATGCGAGCTGGTCGTAACTTTTTAATTTAAGATTTTTCTTCGGTGTTCTGACAGTATTAAATCACGTTACCTGAACGTATTTGAATACTTTCTAAAGTGGCGAATATAAAGCGGTGAACGCTTTGCTTCGGGACGATTATACTATGTCCCGTGAATTGATTAATCGTACAAAATTCGCGACGAGAAAAACCACTTTAGAACCAGGTTATACGATTTTATCAATTAAATTCAGTATATATCGCCGATCTCTCGACGGATTTATCAAATGTGCGGAAAAGCGGCGCACGCGTTGCTTTACAAATACGTTTAAGCTCTTTTTTCGTAATCGCGAACGTCGACGATGAACATTTATTGTGCAAACGTGTCTATTGGATAAATTTCGACATTGTCGACGAAAACCTATCAACAAATCGATCGCAATTGCTCTTCGCGAGACGCTTTGTACTTGTTCCTGGTTACGATTATAATGGTCTGGTACTGGTCTTGCTAATGACATCGGTTTAATTGCCGTCATAATCGTGCGGTGGTGCGTGATGATGCATATGGATGTGTGGAGGCAGTTCAACTACGGGTACGGTCAGGTTGCTTCTCTGTAACACAGTTATAGTTACACAATGGTTGTATAATAGTTACACGAGTGTAACATCACAGCAATTGCACAGATAACACGCCTGAATAGAATTTACGGAGATTGAAATATTTTAGATTATATGATATTACAGTCGTATTTTTTTTCTAATTTTATCAATTATGGAATCTCAAATGATCATTCTTACTATTCAAAATTACATTATTTTATTGTATTATTAAATGTAACTCAGCTTTTTAGGCGCGTATTTAATCTCCGTTAATCATCTGTCAGCAATTTATGGAATTTTTACGATTTCTCGATTTAATTTCAGTAGATAATGCAATTAATTGCTTAAAGCGCTATAGTTAAGATTCAATTGGATTCTGTCGATCCTTTAATCTCTTCAGTAAAATCTATATCTTGCACCACTGAATTATTCGTAAGAAAAAATGGAGAGATAATAAATCTCGTGTCCATCCTGACGAGAAATAAATCCGCTTGCCAGATACACGTTAATTAAAGAACATTTGAATGCAATTATGAGTTTAATGAATGTGGAAGCACAAAAAGCTTAATGAATATAAAATATAATTGAATAACGATATAGCGTAAAGGAAGAGAGTTCTCTCTTAAATGAAATTGCGATATATAAAATTGATTTCGGGGAAAAGTTAGGGAACACCAATTTGATGAAGAGGTGATCAAAGAATCATAGAGGTTCATTTAAAATCCGATTTTATATCTAAGATTATTTTAAGTCTGATCTTAATCTTAAAATTCGATCCAATAAATAAAATGATCGTAAATTATTTCATTATAAATCTGGACACTGCAATTAAAGATGTATCGCATATATTTTTTAACAAAATTAAAAGGAAAAAGGTTTTCAAGGTATATTTATAAAATATATTTGTATACATATATATATATATATATTTGACGATTAGAGAAATGAATAGCCTTGTTTAACTCATGTTAATATGTCGTAAAAAATAAGCGTCGCGACGACATGTTGATTAATGATAATTAATGAGCGACGGGGCAGTCATTACCTGGGACCTCATCCCGTTTACGGGGGTGGCAGTGGGATTGTCCGGCGGATAGCCGATCACGTGCGTAGAACATTTGTCGCAAGTACGCCGTCGTCGAGACGATGCGCGACAGCGTAAGGCGCGGCAGAGCTCTCGTGCCATCTCCGAGCAGAGCGACTCTTGCTGATTTGATGGCTGCTGATGTTGCTGCTGGCACTGTTGTTGCTGCTGCTGTTGTTGCACAACCTGAGAAATTCCCTGAAGAGAGCCGGAGGTAGACGTCGGAGGAATTGGAGGCCTTTGCTATGTCAGCAGCACACAACAACGAATTATTCGCATGAATAACTTATAATGACTTAATTATTAAAAATAAAATATTCAGAAAAGAGGCGCATATTAAAATATATCATGATGCAGGAAACATTCCAAAATTAGCGAAAAGTATTGTTTCCTTGAAAATTTTCAAACTATGAACCGTTGAATAGATATAAGATAGGCGAAGATAAATAATAATACTACATTAATTAAACTCAAAGTGAAGTAGACTTTAGACACTTTAAAATGTGAAATTTTAATATTTATAAAAAAGATCTTTTTTAATCTAATACATTAAAAAAATTATATATATATATATATATTATATGAGGGGCATCCTAAAAGTAAGTTTTCTTATCAGGAAAAAAAATCAGTTATGAGTAGTCTGTGCATTAATTGTAGAGATGTTTCGTTGGGATAGTTGGCAATATTTTTTTTTATTTACAATCATCTTTAATATAATCATAAGTCGAGCAAATTTAAATCATAGAAGCACTAATACAAAACGTGTCTGACTGCAAACTACGTACTATAATTTGATTTGACTGTAAGAAACAAAAGTATATAAGTTTGAATGTAACTTTATAGAGAACACGAGTTTGTGTTAAAGCAGATGGATTCGTAAAAAGTTCTCTCGATAGCAGAACGGACCTTTTTCGCAACTGTATTTAGGATACTTGCAGTCGAGCAGCATGCTTCAATGGACGATGAGCTCATGCTGATACGACGAAATCCATGATGTAGCGATGAAACAAAGTTTAGAGAACATCATGCAATATTTACGCATACGGTTACGTGCACATCTCACAAAATTAACAGTTTTAATAATTAATAAAGATAAAGCAACAAAAAGTAGCTTGAGAAATAAACACACGCGATTGCGTTTGTCGGTAATTCAAACTGCAATGTCGACAAATAGAGCAGTGCAACGTGAACGTGCTGATTTATTGAAATGAATTTCAGCATTGGTTTCTAAGGTCGATGCACTCACCCGTTCCGCCGGTGCATTCCTTCTGGAATTGTAGCAGAATTCGAAAATCGCTATAAGCATGGCGAATGCCAAGCCACACAATAAGAACACGAAAACTCCTCCTAGACACAAAAACAAAACGTACTCTCGAGCGGATAAAACATCAATGAATAATATTAGAAAAAGAAATAGATATTCTACTGGTTGAATTAAACAAGCAAATTAACAAAGTATATAAATTGTACAACCACATAATTCGAAAAATTCATTGTAGAATTTTACTGAAAAATAGAGATATTTAAATTTAATGTCGAGGACATTTATTTTAAGATTATCTGTCGATCAAAGAGTGTTGTAAACATTTAAAAAATTTAATAATTTTTCTTGAAAATGATAAGCACAAAGATAATAGGAAATTATTGCGACTATAAGAGGGAAATTCCGTGTTACGACTTTGCCGAGGAAACTCATGATGCGTATAATTCAGAGTTTACGCGCTATTCTCCGAGAAAGACGCTCACCTATGTTGTCGACGCCTAGAGAGTTGGCTTTATTCTCCTTTCCCTTTTCAGTCCTCATACAAGTATCCCCGGGACTCTTCCACCATTTGTCATACAGGATCTGAATTTCGCCCTTCTCTTGCAATTCTAGAATTGCTAAAGATATCTTATCTCGCCAGGGCGAACCTGCAAAATTTTTTGTAAATCAAATAAGTAATTTACAAAATTTATTTTAATATATAATAATAATAATTTTATATATATTTATATATATAAATGATTAAAACTGTATTGTTTATTCGCGTGAAATATTATTCAGTACAAATAAAGCAGTTTTATTTTTATTATGTTGGACATATATCAGAGAAAAAAGCTTGATAATTAAAAGAAACATTTATTTACAAATACTGAATTAAAAAATGCTTATTAATTGTGCACTGTTTGTTTATTAAAAAATATCGAAATCTCTTTTTCAATTATTACAAATTACAAATTGGATTGCGAAAAATATACGATATTTTTAAATAAAAATAGATATTGGTCAGTGTAACAGCTTACCCATGGGTGTAGCAATTCCATATCCTTTGGTATCCAATAGACCACCAATTTGCGTGAGGTTGCAGTCTCTCTGGACAATATAATCCAGCATGGTCGACTCCATGAGAAAGGCATAATCGCCTTGAAGAACCCGCTGAATACCCTCTTCGTATGTTGGAACGAATACCGACGGCTTCTTGTTCTCCATAAACCTCCACATCTTTTTGTACGTTTCGACCATTGAGTCCTTGAATCGAAATTCGAGAAGCGCAGAAAAAATCAGATTTTATTATCGCCATAATTCAATATCGTGATACTCGCCGTTGCATAAAGTTTGCATATTAATTTCAAATATTGTTTTATAATTAACTACCAACGGAAAAGTTCCTGTAAGTCAGTGCCAAAGACACGATGTGATTAAAACTCTATTCCCGCGTGAGCGGAAACGATTATCATAATAATTGCAAAATAATTACTTTTGTATCGATTTCGCGGCTGTAACGCACGCAATCATTATCTGATTATTAACAAGCTATAAATTGAACATGAATTCATGTAATCGTGAAAGTATTAAATACATAGAGCTGTATTTACATACGAGTTAAACAAGCTATAGCTTTTACGCTGTTAAACAGCCTACCTTTTTAATATTTTCATTATATGATGGTATGCAAAGAAAATATCACAGCTTGAGTTAAATTTCAATTTAAGATTGTAATACTATCCAAACGATGATAATTAAAAAACAGTGGTAATTAATCTCTTGAATTAAATAACATTTTATTATTTTTAATTTCCATGCACTGGAAAAGCAGTCTAATTGCATTAATTAGAATTCTAGTTAAAAATAGGCAAATTAAAATTTTTTGGTTGTACATGTTATAATTTTAGTTGAGATAACTAGAATTCTGATTGATATGATCAGAATTTACTGATTCGTTCATTTTTAACTAGAAATTTGTATCAGTATCAAAATGTAAATTAATCTATTTCTATGGTTACTTTTAAAGTAACGTTTATATTAACGTACGCAAGTAGTAAATAATAAACAAAATTTTTTATTCAAAAATATATTTCTTTTTAGTCACAAATTATTTAACTTTATTGTTTTGATTAAATTAATTATTATATTAAATTAAGTAAGAGCACAGTGGAAACCTATTACAACAAATAATTGAAGATCACTCAAATTTTTTATTGTAATTTGATATTATAATAAAAATTTAATTCTGCAGGAGGGGAACATTATAAGGTATTATAATACAATACTACATATTCTATCATATATTTCAACTATATAATAAAATATTGATTACCCTGAAGAAAGTCATCGTGCTTCCACTGTCGAGAGTTCCGTATGCAATGTCTGTCTGACTGGCAAGATCTTCGGCGTTCTCTATAGGCGTAATCATTCTTTCCACTGTAAGGAAAGCAGCTAGATTCGCGGTGTATGACGAGATGATGATCAGAGTGAAGAACCACCATATACCACCCACGATACGTGTGCTCGTAGCCTGATAAAGGTATCATACATATTATTGAGATTCATCAATTAAATTTTCGATTCAACAATTAAATTTTATAATTTATCGCTATTAGCTTCGTATTAATTTTACTGCCAAACGATTATACATGTATGGTAAAATTGATTGATAAATGATTTTAATTGCCAATATATTAATATATTACGATATTTTATATTTTAATAGCAGAACTGCAATCTCATAATAACACCTTCAAATTATAAAAAAAACGTTAATTTCTCATTATATTAAAAATATATCAATATTCTTTTTTTTTTTACTACTTTTACGTTCTTTATTATAGCTTTTAGGCATTCCAGGAACTAACGTGTTCCATTTTGTTCAATAGATTTTCAGTAATTGAAAATTAATTCAAAAGTCTAAATCTGCACATGAAAGCTGATCTTGAATAGAAACGCTCGCGTTGCTTGTTGAGAAAATTACGAAGCATTGTCCCAAAAGTATTTAAATATCGGATATTTGAAATAGAAAATTACTTTAAATAACGGCAATACACGGAATTAGAAATTCAGATAATTGATATAATTATTAATGGAAATACATACAACATTTGTGATATCATAAAAAAGTCTGGCGTGTAAAACACGGATTTATATTATGAGAATTAAGTCACGAGTTAGTATATTTATTCTATTACACACAGATAAAAGCGGTATAACAAAATCAGTGAATCTGTTTATGAAGCTAATTATGATAAGATTAACATAACATATTACATAATGTAACAACCTCATTCATAATTTACATACATGTATAAAATCTGTTTCGCATAATGTATGTGTTTATGCATAATATTTACGATATTAAAGCGAAAACTTGTCGACGATGCAAACGCAAACCTTGGGATTTAGATCGCTGCCCTGTTGCATGAGAGTTCCAATGGTGAACCAGAAGCTATTCGATAAGGAGAACTGATTCTCAACGATTTCCGTCCCAGGGTGACACGGATGGGGATTATTCCATTCGTAGGGGCTAAATCGCGCCACAACGAACATCGTCACCGACACTAAAACGTACGCTGCCAGAACGTATAGCCAGATCTCGATCGCTAACGGATTCATGAAGGAAAAAAGCCGCGCTTGGTGACTGGTCGGTACCTGCAAGGAATTTTTGAGCTTTTGACACCTTGCTGTTTTCCATACGTGATACTCAAAATTCTATGTAAAATATATTACAACAATTTATTCTTTCGTACGATCAAACGCAGAACATTATTCGGTTTTTACTTCGTTTTATTTAATGACATTCTTATTTGAGTTAATCGTTAAAATAAAACAATAATATTAATGAATAAGAGTAATTATATTATAATAGAATTTATCGCCGATTTGCTCAGTTTGTTCGCAAAGTGACTGCTCTGTTTTGTTATATATTCAGTATTTTATTTTAATGATCAGCTGCACTTCACTTATTATTATACCCATAAGAAAAAGAGGAAGAGAATATGTATGAAATATGTAAGCTTAATTAATGCTTCATAATCGGAGCGATATGTGTAATGATGAAGAAATTTAATTTGCACGAATAATTTAACAATTCTTAATTAGCAATCTTAATTAGTATTAAACGTAATATCGTGAAATCGATTATTTTACTTAATGTAATATTCAAAATTTATTTTGCCTACATTAAGATTATTCTATTTTCGCTTAAGCTTTTATAATTATATTATATTTTTATATATTTAATTGTTCTAGGTATTTTATACAACGTGCACTTTACAAACTATTAATTATAACTATCAATAATGACGTAAAAAATTGTTCACTATAATGCACTACACGTTGGTATTTCACACACATGTGTAATTAAGTCGAATTTTTATCAAATTTAATACATCGAAAATGTGGCAAATTAAAGAAAAGGAAATATGCGAAAATATAATATATTTGTAATATATTGGAGAAATTATAATATATAGATAAATATAAATAAATATAAATAAATATAGATAAATTTATAGTCTATCGACTATAAATACTATAGTAAACTATCAATACATTTTGAAATCGATCTCGCCGATTTTTCACAACATATATCGGTGGTTAAATGCATGGTTAAATCCTTTGTTTCCTCCAGCTCTGTGCGAATGAAATTGGTTAATGTAAAATTTAACGCTTGCTCTTGGTAGCAGATGTTGATTCCATGGAAATAAAAAAACGATCTAGCAAAAAGTACAGTCAGTGTTACTAGTTACGAAAACAAGAAATAATAAAAGACTATTATAAAAGTCCGCTTATGTAGTATATTTAATCAAGGATAATTAATGAATTAATTTAGAATATTTTGTACCATAATTCGAGTCGTAATAGATCGTAAATATCGAGTGTGTTGAATCTATACGAATAAATGGTGGGATGAAAAAGAATGTAGCTTTGGAAATAGGAATAGCTACCATCTGCAACATTAATTACAATTAAACGATCCCCTTACATTAATTAAATAGAATGCGCACTCGCGGTCGACGTCGATTGGTGCAATCAGCGAAAAGGGTACTGCGCCTTTTGTATTTGCCAGTAGAAAATCCCATTTGGGCAGAAATGAATCTTCAATTCGCATTAAAAGATAAGCTATTATCGTCAATGTGGCGAGAAAAGCTTCGTCATATTAATTAATTTATAAGACAAAAGATCCACTTATCGAGTTTTTCATGCCTCACCATTTTGGTGGAAATGAAACTGTTTCAAGCTATTAATTTATCATTTTATCGTATATTACGATCAATTTTAATTGATATTCATATCGATTACTTAACAAAAGTATTTAAGTAGAGAGCTTTTAAGGATTCTGTCAAGAGTGTCATACGCAGTTTATAATTATCCTACAGTGAATCGCGATGAAAGATTACCACATCACTGCCGCTTGGCTGCATAACGGTGATTTGCTTAATTATCTTCATTAAGCAGTTGGCTTGTGCCATTGGGAACTAAGACGAACAATTTCATTCAAAGTTTGAACGTTGGCGTGGGAAGATTCCAAATGACATAATACAATTGACAACTGTATTTATTATTATTGTAATTACTCAGACGACAATATATGTATAATATGTATATACATAAAATTTAATAATATATGAAACAATACATAAATACTTAAATAGAAATCTAGAAAGATTTCTTTTTAGGAACCTAAAAAATTTAAAAACTTCATTTTATCTTCTAAGAAATATTTTTTGTAATATTAGTATATAAAGAAAGGTTACTATACTCAGATAAAATAATTAATGATTGAGAAATATTTTAGAGCAAAAGTTTATTCATTATACACAGTTTATTATCTTAAATAATATCTATTATAGTAGTAAATTGATAAAAAAAATGACGCATACACTTTTAAAAGTTTCTATCAAAAAGAAATTGAAAGTAACGTTAATAAAGTCTATCGAGTTTTTAATTATTGGAAAGAAAGGATGATTAATTTTATTGATTTTTCACAGAGAGAGAGAAAGAGAGAGAGAGAGAGAGAGAAAGAGAGAGAGAGAAAAGATTCTTTTTAATATAACTTGTTACTTCCATTATTCATCGATTGCTCTAATAATATTTTAAAGTGCTGACTCTTTTATTTTATATTATTGATACAGCAGTCTGATTAGATAACAAGACTATAATTTGAAATATATAGATATATCACAGAATAGAACTGTAATAGATCGAGGGCGAATAAAACAGGAATAAAAAGAGGTAAAAATGAACAGTACCAAAGATCGGAAATGGCCGTTCCGTAAATTTCGTCGAACCAAACGTCCGATTGGATTTTCCGTGGAAAATCGAGAAATTAGAGATGAACGAAGGGAGCGACACAGCGATCTCGTCGTCAATCGTACCGCCATCGTGAAAATTATATTACAAAAACTCGAGAAATTAACTTCTCCACTGATATCATTACGTCGCTCTTTACGCAATACCATTATTAACTTCGGAGTAACCGAATCCCACCACTGCTCGTTACGGTATAAAGTGCAGCTGGCCGAGAGAGAAGTTAACTACAGGCATCTCGAATTATTTAGCGCGAGTCGAAACTTGAGGAGATTCCGGTACTGCCACTCGAATCGATCGAATGAAATCTAGGAGTCGGGAGAAACTCTCGGCATGAAACATTGTCAGAATAATTAAAGCTTCACGAATGATAAGGTGGAATCAAAGAGACAGTAGCAATAAATATGTAGAAGAGAAATATGAAAGAGAGAGAAAAGAAGAAGACAGAGATAATAGAGAGAAGATGGAAAAAGAGGCTAAAATAATAAAAAAAAAAAATAGCTCGTTGAACAAGTTTAGAATTAATCGGCTCGCTAATTCGATATACGTTGATCGATGATATTCCGATTATTAAACTATTTACGTGCCATCACTTGCGAGCAGTTCTAATTAGTTTGCTTCCCCCTTCCGCGACTTCGCAACACATGCTGCACTGTATTATAAGCGAGAACATACACGTGCATGTCGGTACATACAAGTGCATCATCAAGCGGCGCGATATTACAGTCATAGCACGATCTCGTAACCGAGTCAGTTAATGAAGATTAAATTTAGACTCGAAACAATTTTTTTGTATTATAGCATTTGTATGTATCACATTTTCGAATCTTTTTACAAGTTTTTTTGTTACTTCGTAATTATGCAAAGAATTATTTATACATATTATGTATAAACATTCGATAAAAATCTTTGTAAAAGTCTTTTTAATATTTAATAAAACATAATATTTTTTTCAGATTTTGTTTTTTTTTTTGTAAAATATACATTCTACTAATAATTTAATAAACACAAAACATTGTGGCTATAAATTCTTTCATTACTCTGTAATTACTCAAAGAATTATTTATATGTATTGTACATAAACGTAGGTGAATGATACGTATCTAATTTCAATTTAGAAGCCATTTAGAACGCCATGTTCGATCTGGTTGAATTTAACCACTATAAGCAATTACTACTACACATATAATACATATAGTTGATAATAATCTCTTATATGCAAATGATATTTACATCTATAACTATTAATTAGCTAGTTTAGCAAAATGTGAGGGCATTATACACACGTAATCGTTAGCAATAGTCAGTTTACGGGCAAGTAGATAAGAACTAGTTATGGTCAGCCAGCGCCAAAACCAGACCGAACTGCCGTCGTACGGATGGTATTAACTTGGATAAAACATCTCGGTTAAAATTACCTCCCTCGTATTTTTTATCAACTTTTTACGTGCAATTAAAAAAAGTAAACAGAAAAACATGAAGCATGAGAATATCGATTAAGATATGATTCAACGATGCAAAATTTTCATCGACGTTACTTTGATTCTTGGGTGTGGGCACGTTCGTGCTGGCTGCCAAATAAAAATAGTCTAACAACAACAGATGGAGTATACGACGGCAAAAAACGGCAAATAAGAATAACAGATGCGCTGTGCAGAAAAATACACGAGACGAGGGAGGAGAAAGACCAACAAAGCTCTGGATGCCAGATCCGCCACGGCAACAATACGGCGGGACGTGGACGAAATAAAAATATGGGCTATCAGAATAACGCTATTTCGCGCGTGAACCGGGAGATTAAGAGGAAGGCTTATACAAGATAGCTTTAAATGCCCCGGTCGAGCTGAATACAATTGCTACTTTGTAACGTGATAAATTTTCGCGGTTTTGCACATCGAAATTATCGTCCGCCGAAACCGTTGACTCTTGCTTACCTTGAAGAGGATCGAAATACCCAAATTCATGAACGGCTTCGTGAAGTCGATCACGCTCTCGCGTGCATAGTTGATTGTCATGGAACCGACAGCGAGATCAGCCTTCTGCGAAATGAGAGAAAAGATCATTAAAAGGATATATCTATCAAGAGGCAAAAACGCAAATCCAAGAAATTTAGAGAGAAGACAAATGTTTGCAGACAGCACCGTCTAATAAGACGTGCTTAAGACGTCGTTTTTTATTAAATGCCTTTCAAACATTATATTATAAGATGTCTTAAAGATATCTTTTGATTTTTAAATAAATCGTTAGTCAGAAGTCAGAAGCAAATTATAAACGAATCACTAATGTGTCATAACAATATGTTGGCAATCAGTGGAGATGGCCAAATTCCATTTCTTACGATTTGAAACTTAAATGCATTGTTTGTCCTATCACCTTTTTGAAATTTTGATATATTGTGACGTAACGATCTAATATGATTTATCCTAGATGTAAGTTTCCTAAAATTTTTGTATGATTTATATGGGTGCTTTCCATTAGACATCGTTCTGTTTGTTATTCCAGCGAATATCAAGAAAGATAGAATAACACTCGTATCGACTTGTCACTAAATGGAAAGCACCCTCTTCTAACTTACCATTAATAACTCTGATATGAGTGATTACTAACGGCTTATTGTAGAAAGCCCATTTGACGTATTTACGATGTCTGATGTCTTTGGATATGTCTGCTGTCTGTGTTAATTCTAATTTATTTCTGTCATCAAATCAAGATGCAGATTCGATAGCTTGGTTACTTCCGAAAGCTGCTCTTGAATCATCCAGTTGGTTGCGTTCGACAGGTGCTTGAGATTATTTAGACACGCGCGGCAATAAAATAGCTGACTAGGCAGTAGCTCAACGAGGCAAACGCTGTCTCCGATTCAATGAGAATCCACCTCGAAGAAAGAGCTCAATGTGCGTACTTTTGCCGCGATATCTAACTGCTTTTTCAGCGTCTGCGAGAGCACTCGTTGGCGTGTGCGCGGTGGCGCACCACGAGGCGGCAGTCTGTCGAGATTTATTTCCAGCTTGCGCTGCACACAGAAAGCGTGGATATCTGGATGGAAATGCACCCGATAGGGAAATCCCCTGTCTTTTCTTCCTACACATGCATCGCGCTCTGTCTCTATATGTACGATGTTACAAATTTTCTATAAGCGCTCTGTACGCAAACTTGTACGTTACACGAGAATTCTATCGCGCGACGTGGACGAAACATGATTTATTCACTTGTCAATTTTTCATATTCGCAATGATTTACATGGCAAGATGATACGTAATATCTATTTTACGTCTCATATATTTATTCCGGAAAGTTACAAAATTAGATTTCAATCAAATGATGCGTACTAAATAAAGAGATTAGGCATCTCTCTTTTTGTCTTTCTGATTAAAATATTATTCTGATTAAAAAGTATTTTAGCAGATTTCTCTTAAGTAGTGTGATATTCTCTAAATGTTAATTTGTCTTTCTTTCCTTTTTCTCTCTTTATTTTCTTTCATTTTTTTTATCTTTATCTTTATTATTATTTTATTTTATTATTTCTGAATGTAATTGTTATGTTGTAACTACATCACGTCTTAATGCTCAAGAGGTATCTTAAAACGCTTAATTATAGTGATCTTTATATCTGTTTATCCATTTTCTCTCTCTCTCTCTCTCTCTCTCTCTCTCTCTCTCTCTCTCTCTCTCTCTTTCATATATCAATAATTTTTAGAATTTTATTTCGTATTCTATATTTACATGCTAAATATAATAATTATAATAAATAAAGTAATAGCATTTTTTATCATTGGCAGAATTGTGCATTCAGTACACATTAAAATCATATACTACTCTAATCTGAATGTAAAAGAGATATCTCAATTGATAAAATGTCTAATATATATTTTATCAAATAGCATAATAAAATGTTAAAGATTTCGTAGTTTAATTTATTTCTATATTTTTATTAAACATATATCTTTATGGTGATTTATGTACAAGATCTTTAAAGTATACTGACATTGTGAGTGCAAAAAGCTATACAAGTGAGAGAAATGCCAATTACGGTTAAAGTTAGATAGATTTAGAATAAAACATCTATATTTTGTATAAAATATTTCGGTATTTTTAAATAGATAAATTATCACAGATTATGATCGCGAGTCCATGATTGCTTATAGACTTGTAATCTAATTAAATTGAAATAATAATCCTCCTAAATAGAAAAATCAGCGTGCAGTCATTGTCCGAAATAAATATATTTAAAAATGCATATGAATTTATTATTCCAATGTATATATTCAACTTTGATCGTATATAAATGTCGCTTCAGTTACTCAATTGATGTATTATTATATAATTCTGTTTTAATCCTAGTAATAGTAAATATTTTCATATTTCCTATTATTTGATTGAATTATAAATGAAAAGCTATCATTATTGATTCCAATTCGTAATGTGATATAGGTATAATAATTGCAATTTCACTTTTACCCTTTCACACAAAAACTCAATATTTTGTACACGTATTACTGTGTATTACAGCCGTCGATAGTCAAACCGTGAATGGAAATGGTGATACATCTCACGTACAATGGACAGCCGAAATGGTCGACATCGACGTCGCATAAAACGAGATACCGGTTCATCCCGTGAAAGATATTTCGGATTGGCGGCGTCACTAATTCGCGCGTGATTTACGCTACACCCCGTGCGATCCATGGATGACGGTCGCAATAATTTGTTGTTGCGTGTTCTCGCGCGATGACAGCACGGCGCCATTGCGAACCCGCGATGCATCGTGCCGTCAATCGTTTATGAATGTACGAGCGATGCAGTGTATGTACAACTCATCAAACGTGTCGAGGAGAAACATGAATGTGAGAAGCCGGTTAAAGCTGCAAGCAGAGATAATGTACTGGAAAAAGGGCGATATCAATTTACATAGGATTACGGAGACACGAGAGTATCGGATATTACATGTATTCGAAGTTGTGTACATATATATATAAAATATATATCGTTTATTTAATTTAATACTTTTGTTGAAAATCACTTTTGTCGATTAATAATTTCGATGACGGCGGTGATATATTGCTAGTGAGCTTCGTTTTTCATTTCATTCATTCATTTTTGAGTCGTGTTACCTTTTCCCGTGTAGCCGACAAACGATATCCCATTTATCAACTGTGTTCAGATAAAAATGAAACATCAATATATCATTCTTTTCAAGAAAATTCACGCGAGGGAAATTAATATCTAGTGTAACATTTTACATATTTTGCGTATCAACGAATACTCCAAAACTTGTTGCGTTAAATTATAAATTAACATAACATATAAAAATGTTATTGTAAAATAATATTTCTATTATAAAAGAAATATCTCTCTCTTTCTTATATTATAATATATTATATTTTTAAAATAATTTCAATATTTTTATATTAAATTTAAGGTAATAAAACAATATTTTTAAAATAGGTAGATACTCCTGAAACGCGAGAGAATCTAGGAATAGAAAATATTGCGTTAAACATAGTTAAATATTAAAGGAACAATGGGGTAACCCAATCCATTGAGTTAAATAATGTTTTATTTTTAAGTTTCGCGTCATTTTTAACTTCCATGTAAACCAAAATCCATTTCTGTGGTTAGTTTCAAAGTAAATAACATCCATATTCACGTATGAACTTAGCAAATAGAAATTAAAAAATCAAATATTTATAATACACTTTTCCTAATTGAATTATTTAAATAAATGAAATTAGATATAATTTAATATATATATATATTATAAATTTAATAATGTAAAATAATTCTTGTTCATATTATATTGTACATTAATTAAAACATCGCTAATTAAACATGTTCTAATCATCGATTTAAAATTCTGCATCAGATGTCTCGAATAAGATAAGGGTAATCTGCTTAACTGTATAAATCACTAAAATACGATACCGCTTCTAGGCATATTACGTGCGCCTTTTTATCATCATTTTTCTGTCCCTGGTTTCGCCATTGCGCTCTCGGGCTCGCGACGACTGCGGCTAAGCGAGTATTATTAATGATCATCTGACAAAATTAATACTGCCGTCCGGATAACATAACGTCGGTCGCTCTGTAACGTTCACCGGTCTGCGAATCCCGACGAAAATGAGAAATTTCACGGACTGTCGCGATTCCCCATAATTCCATGAATTCCGGCCCATATGCGTTGTATCGTTGATCACTATGTTTAATGCATTCAGAATCTCAAGAGATATTAAACCATTCATAACTGTAATGTTCCTGAAATGAGAACGTGATTATTCCGTTTGCGTAATCAATACCTTAGTCTTTGAGTTTCGCACATCTCTCTTAATTTAGCTTACGCGAATATTATTTCGTTTATTATAATTAAACAGTCATTACGAACATTTCGATTCAAGCGCCGCGTATCTTGTTATCCGTTTGATAAAGCCGCGAACTTTCCTCGTCACGTTACATTAATAGCGTGGAATTAATTATTTCTATACAGGCGCTTAGTTCCCGTTAAACGTATACGCAGGGTTTATGCATTATTCATCGCGATAAAAGTGTGCCCTTGTGTTCCGCAGCAACCGGACACTGAATCCAATCCCGAACTTTGGGATTTATGGCAAAAGTAGTTCTCTGGAATGTAGATATCACTGCTAGAATACTCGGCTCATTACATCCTACTTTAAAGTTCTTCCAAAAACGAGTGCTCCTTTAAGAAATGTACCGCGACAAAAAAATGTATGCCCCTTTCGTGAGAAAGGACAAGCGGATTTTTCTTTTTCCTTTAGTTTGTCTCTCGAAAGAAATTGTAAAATATTTATAAAATACAAAGATTAATTTACATATATTGCACCGAGTTTAGCAGGAAATTATACATTAGTTTACAAATTTTCAGTATAAGAAAAGAAATTCATTTTTTTACTATACTATACAGCGTTCAATTTGTCAGAAAAATTCTATCAAGTCGAAGACTTTCAAAATATACATGGGATGTCAATTTTTAAAATATAGCATTTTTTTAAATAAATTGTAAGACAAGTGAGAGAAACAAGGCAAA